AGAATGGCTATTATCAAGAAGACAAAAAATAACAAGTGTTGACGAGGATGTGGAGAAAAGGGAACCTTTCTGCACTGTTGGTAGAAATGTAAATTGGTGCAGCCACTATGGAAAACAGTATAGAGCTTCCTCAGAAAAATTAAAAATAGAACTACCATAGGATCCAGAGATTCCACTTCTGGGTACTTATCTGAAGGAAACAAAAACACTAACTTGAAAAGATATATGCACCTCCATGTTCACTGCAGTATAATTTATAACATCTCAGACATATAAGCAACCTAAATGTCCATCAATGAATAAACGGATAAAGAAAATGTGGTGTGTGTGTAATGGAATCTTATTCATTCACAGAAAAGAAGAAAGTCTTGCCATTTCTGACATGATGGACCATTGAGAACATTATGCTAAGTGAAATAAGTCAGAGAAAAATACAACATAATCTTACTTATATGTGGAATCTAAAAAAAAAAAAATCCAAGCTCATAGATATAGAGAAAAGATTGATGGTTGGCAGAGATCAGAGTGAGCGGGCTGGAGTGGCTGATTGAGAGGTGGGTAAAATGGATGAAGTTAGTTGAAAGGTACAGACTTCCTGTTATAAAATAATTAAGTCATGGGGGTGTAATGGACAGCATGGTGACTGCAGTTAATAATACTGTTTTGTATATTTGAAAGTTGCTAAGAGTAGATCTTAAAAATTCTCTTCACAAGAAAAAATTATAACTATGTGTGGTGATGGATGTTAACCAGACTTATTGTGGTGATCATTTTGTAATATATACAAATAACAGATCATTAACGTTGTACACCTGGAACTAATACAATGTTATATGTCAATGATATCTCAAAAAAAAACAAAAACCAACAACCACCCTTTTGTGAGCAGAAAGCAACCAACTACAGAAAGCCGTCTATGGTATTCTCAGCTATCCATTTAGTGCTCGAATCATTAACAGTTAACACAATTAGCTCTTCTTCCTTAAAGTTACTTCTGGGTATTAGATCTTCTCTGACTTTTACACTTTCAGTGAAATTCTGATGTTTAAAACTGCTGACTTTTGTTTTTGTTTTTAATCTCACATATAGATTTATACATAGCTGTATCAGGGAAAACTCTCCTAACAAAACTATTGATACTATTCTTGCTAGCTTCAGGAAAGAGTCCAGATATATTTTTAAAGAAGCCTAATAGTGAAAGATCCTTTTAAAGGTTGGTCTGTTGTATATGTTTTGCTTTAGTTTTTGCACAAAGATACTGTTTTTATTCTCTATCTTGTGATGACTTACTCCTGTTTTAAAGAAAACATCAACAGAAGCCAGAATCTGTATCCTGTTTATCATTGTTAGTTCTGGAAAGAGAATGGGTATGACAATGGTGAGATTTTAAACAGATGAAAGGAAAAGGAGTTCAGTGCTTCAAACAGTAAGATAAAGACAAAACTTAGGACAAAAAAGTTACACATTCCATGGGGCAAACACAAAGCCAACAATTTCCTTTGGCAACACAAAAAGCTGCCTTGAGCCAATAAACCTACCCTCCCTGTGCTGTGGCAGTACTGTATTTAAGTCTCACATCAGAATCCTTAAAGGGTAAGCCTAAAAAGGCCCCTCTGGCATATGTTGCCCATGTTCCACTAGTATATTCTTACAATTACCAAAGAAATGAGAATGCTGTTCCTCACCTTGAAATCTGCCCTGATCTCCAACATTTGGGTTTTGACAATTACAGAGATATTGCTTAGATACAAATTAATCAGAGTGGTTAGGCTGGAAAGGGGTAATTCTTGCACCTACGATAGAGGATTCTAAGTAAATTAGTGTTGAATGGATGAACGAACAAATGAATGAAACCACAAATAGATCAAGAGCTAAGTATAATAAACTCTTGATAATCAGAGGTTTTGAGATTATTCACGGCTAAAAAAACTAGTGCATATGAAAAAATTGACTCCATTTACATGTTAGAAAGCATCTATTGTTTGGAACCAAGCTGTAATCAAAAACAGATGCTAAAATGTGGCCACTGTCATATAGTGATATTTGCTTTCCTCCTCATCCCTTCTTTGTCAATAGCCCCTCACTAGAGCAAAGCACCTCTCTGTCCCCAGGACCTAGCCCAGTGCTATATTCTTCATAGATGCTCAGTAAACACTTATAAAACCAAACTAATACCATTAATAAAAATGTCTATGAATAAATCTATATGGAGATGGTTCTGTCAAAACAGAGGCTCATACATAATTTATACTTCCTGGTTAGAGACAGAACAATTAGCGATATAAAGGTTAGTCCATTCTGAGCCATTGAAGAATGATTCAGAGTATGAATATGCTTTGGGCTTGGTTTTATTTAATAAAAGCTTTATGTAATATAGGCATCTCTGGTTGCACTAATACAATGGTATCATTGAAATGACGGACGTAACTGAACCAAAGATAAGTTTAAATAAATTCAGGCCTAGGAAGCCATCCTTCAAAAGTGTTCACAATTTAATTTTAACTGTATGCTTAAGTCTTATTTGAAATTTTTTAAAAAGTAAAGCCAAATTCACAATTACAAGGGACAGTGTTTCTTATCACTTACTCGGCAGATACCAAATCGTGATCTGTGCATAGTCTGAAAGAAGTTTTTAAACTTAGAAAAGCTTTTCTTAGGAACTCTACTTGTGACCTGAAAGATAACTTTCATAAGACACTCTAAAAACAAAAATGAAGAGAAATTTTTTATCTCTTGCAGTTAAATTTCAATAAAAAATTTCAATTATACAGAGTCAGAGTCTTAGATTTTTCCTGTAACCCTCATATTAAGTTTTGTGCTCAGTATTAAACGAATTAAAGTCAATTTCCTTACCAATGAATTATGAGGAACACAAATTAAAATGAAAGAATGAACTGGGAATATGCATGCAAATATTGTGCATTCATATTATTATACAGCATAATCTGTAAATCGAGTACTAATGAGACTCAAGATTTAAATGGCTGAAGAATGTGTTTAGTGAATTATTGTCAATCAATGCCTCTATTCCAGGATAAATGTAATCTTGAATGGCAACACACCTATTATTACAAATTCCTAACTAAGTACAGTACTTCATTATTTCAAAATGTCAGTGTCAATTTATAAAGTAACAGATAAACATCATTCTACCATATACCCGATTACCTTTCCCTCAGAGTAAATGAAACACTACTAAGAAAAATTACAAACAACATTTTTACAGCAATAAAAGGAACCTACTGAGTATTAGAACTCTAGGTATAGTGCTCAGAATTTTCATATTTGTTAATGTGGAAACATCAGGTTTTATATCATTGTAATCAAGTATTATTTTTTCAAGTCACATTATTTCATGTAAATTCTTTCAACTATTCATTTATTCAATCACTTACAAACATTTTTTGAGTGCCTACGTTGTCCTAGGTACACTGTTAGAAGACAGAGATACAAACATGAATACGATACAACTCTTGTTCTTAAACTCATAGTCTAGTAGAAGACAGAGACAAGTAAATAAAGTTAAATACAACAGTACAAGGTTAAATGGAAATTGTTTATGTTTTTCCCATTTGTAATAACTAAAGAGTATTGTATTGAAAACACTCATTATACGTGGAAACTTTTCATCATTGCTCAGAAATCAAACTCTCCTTTATTCTATGTAAATCTTTCTTTAAAAATTAAAAACAAAGAGAAAATTAAAAAGAATAATTTGATGGATATACGAACTTAGCATCTCAAATTAACAAATGATAAGACTTGTTTCATATTTTATCTTGAGACTGTTTTCCAAATCCAGAAATTTCTTGACTGATAAAGCACTAATAATTACTTGAGATTATTATAAATCCTACTAGCTTTGTGACCCTTGGGTAAATTAACTTAAACTTTTTGATCCTCAGTTTTCTCATCTGAAAAGTAGAGATGACAATACCAATCTGTGTTGGATTATGTTCCATTTGCCCCTCAGTATCCATGCTCTTACCTAGCTTTTTGCCCAGGGAGGTTCACTTGCCTGCCTTTCAGTTTCTAGTTGGGTTAGGTCAATAGGAGGTACTAGCAGGAGATCAGAGTATAAAAGGAAAGGGAAGCTATTCCTTAGTTTCTTCCTTACCAGTTCACCAAGGGTTGGCTATATCTCTCTAATAGAAGCAATCCTCTTCATATACCACCCTCTCCTAGGCCTTTAGGCCTAAGGGTAGTAATGGCTTCCTTTAGCCCTAGAGTGTACTATCCATTGTTGACTCCCATAAACTCTGCCCATATCTTTATGAATAGTTGCCTTATTAAACTCTTTTCAAACAACCCAGTTTGAAAGTGTCATCTGTTTCCAGCCAGAACTCTGACTCATATGCAGCCTCAAGGGATTGTTTTGAGGATCACATGAGATGATAAATGTAAAATGCTTTGCATAGTGCCTAGTACATTAGAGATATTCAGTAAGTGTTGACTACTATTGTCATTATGAATATTGCTGTTATTATTATTCTATTTGAGGTTCCATGCTCATCTCATCTATACCATCTAAATATGTTCGGGAGACTGCTAAAGTCAGAATTCTGGTGATCTTTTTACTAATTCTCATAGTGCTTCAAAAATATGTTCAAGTGTAAAATGTGTTTATTGCTAATCAATCTCAGTACTTAAAAAGAGTAAGAAGACCTCAAAAGTGAGTGAAAAACCCACATAATATATAGGATTTCCTGAACTGTAGTTTCTTCTGTAAACATGCTTCAGAATTCGTTTCCTGTAAATTGACCTCCTGCCATCAAATCTAGCAAAGTATAAATGTCCATAAAGTTAAACAAATTTTTGGGTCTTGGTTGATGAAAAGAATGAACTGAAAGGTAAATTCAGTGGCATAAAAACCCTTCGTTCATGTGGAAACACATCTTCATCAATGCCTTATTTATCCATCATGACATAGGCAAGCATCACCATTTGACAAATTATCTCAACAAAATCCTATTAAAGGTCTACTTAACCTTTCACCTTACCTCATCCTTTATATCTTCCTGTTGCTGGGCCGTGAAGATCTCCATTGCAGCCATGAGTCTCATCATTAACTCATCCACTGTTGTGTTACCTAGCAACACATGGAGATAGCCAAACTTCACATTAAAATCATTATAAAATGGAAAGTCATTCTAGAATTAATCAGTAAGGAATAACTACAGTCTAAAAAAATTACAGACTGGCATGCTAATAAAAACTTTCACGTTTTCACTGAAAAGTTTCATATTTTCAGAAAGAGAACAAAACAGTATACTGGCAATTGAAATTTCAGAATACTTAGATTTGAGGGAACAGTCTCTCACTTAATAAAAAGGACTTTCAGCACTACAAGAAGAATATCCAAGTCATGAGGATCAAAGTATCTTTCAAGTTAGGAAAACATATCTACTTAATAACGCTAGCAACAACTACCATTTGTTTATATGCCAAACAAATTACGTTAAGTGATTAGGTTTATAGACATAAAATCTCATTTAATCTGTACAACAATTCTATGAAGGTGTCATTATGATTTTGATTGTAAAGAGAAGGAAAATGAGGCTTAGAGAGCTCAAGTAACCTGACTAACCAACATCAAGTTGGTTAAGTTATAGGGCCAGGATTTGAAACCATATGAGTCTGACTCAGAAGCCTGTCTCCTTTGCCATCTTAGCATACTGTTTACTTAGAATTATCTCCTATCACTAAAAATTATTTGGTGAAAAAAGCAGTAATTCAATTTCTGGAAAAAAAAATTTTTTTTTTCCCCAATTGATATTTTTCCCTTTTAGCTGCTTTCAAATGACTATGCTATAATCTTTATGGAGAAGGTATTGTAATGTTTGACTTTCTTGAATGCTATTTTATTCTCTGTCCAAGTCTGTAACAAACATATAGCACATATATGCCATTTCTTGCATGCATTAAGTTCTGTTATTTGCTTTGGATGCATCTACAAGAGAGCACGAAACTCATGAAGATACATAAAGATATAGCAATTTTTCTCTTCTTTCAAACCTACAGGCAAAAGAGCCTGTCTTCTCCAGGGCCTGAGAAGGTGTCTTCTTGTCCCGTTAATGGAATGGCCACCAACGAGACAACAAATAGTAAGCATCCTTGTTTGTATTCTTCCAGAGTAGGGTTTGACTAACATAATCTTTCAATGGTCCTTTCCCAGTTTCCCTTATGACCACTGGCAACATGGAGTTAGGGAGCAGCTGCGGTCCTTAGCCAAAGAAATAATCTAATTTGGTCACATCAGCACTACTCTCTCAATAAATGAGCTAGAGAACAAGTATTATCTTGGTGTGATATCATGTTACCAAGAAAGCAGAACTGGTTTTGTACTCAGAGTTCTAACCCTAGTTCTGCTACTTATAACTACATGATCTGGTACCTAGAAATTGCCTAGCACATGACAAGGGCTTAATAAATATTCACTTAGCAAACAAATGAATAAGAGAAGAGCGAGTGTCTTTAGCTCTCTAACGATCAATTTCCTTCTCTGCAAAATGAAGATAACACTACCTCTGTAGGGTTCTTAGAAGGATCAGAGATAATGTAAAGTGCCTGTACATAGCACACACACAATCACTGATAGTTATTATTAACAGATATAACAAATGGCAAAAAGTTTAATAAGAGAACCTTCAACGTAGATTTTGTTACCAGGCAAATCTTTGGGTTTCCATTTCTTATTTGTAAACTGTAGTGACTAACAATGAGTATGGGGCATGAATACTTTGTGGAGGGTACTAGAATCATCAATGGGGAAATAGTATAATTTTACAGGTACTACACACTGGTCATTAATTTTCAGGCTTAAAGCCACTGCTTATCAACTATGCTTCAGCCCTAACTATACAGGCTCATTGCCAAACTGTACTTGAAGGTATTTTATACCTAAGCCCTTAATGATCCAAGATGGAGAAAGGTTCTAGTTAATGCAGTTCAGGGAAAATTTATTTTTTATAGCCTATTGCACCAGAACCTCTTTATACTCTTAAAAACTATTGAGATCCCTGAAGAATTTTTATGTGGGTTATAGTTACCAACATTTACTGTGTTAGAAATTAAAACTGAAATTTCTAAAACATATTTATCAATTCATTTAAAAGTAACAATAATAAACCCATAATTTGGGGCTTCCCTGGTGGTGCAGTGGTTGAGAATCTGCCTGCTAATGCAGGGGACACGGGTTTGAGCCCTGGTCTGGGAGGATCCTATATGCCACGGAGTGGCTAGGCCCGTGAGCCACAACTACTGAGCCTGCGCGTCTGGAGCCTGTGCTCTGCAACAAGAGAGGCTGCGATAGTGAGGGGCCTGTGCACCGTGATGAAGAGTGGCCCCCAGCTGCCACAACTAGAGAAAGCCTTTGCACAGAAACGAAGACCCAACACAGCAAAAATAAATAAATAAATTACTAAACTCCTACCCCCAACATCAAAAAAAACCACCAAAAACCCATAATTTGTTAATATAAATATCACATTTATGAAAAATAACTATATGTTCCAAAAGAAAAAGTTCAGTGAGAAGAATGTAATTTTTTAAAACATTTTTGCAAATTTCTTTAATGTCTGGTTTAATAAAATGTAACTGGATTCTCATATCTATATCTACATTAAACCAGCTATAATGTGTTGTCTTGGTTGAAATTTATGAAGCAATTATGGCCTCACACAGATATATAGTTGGAAAAAGGAGGAGTATTTTAATAGATAATTGTAGATATTTTTCTTTAATACACCCAAACTGACAAGTGGAATTTTTTTCAAGGTTAGGTATGTGAGGAATTTGAAACCGTTATCAATGAACTTATTGTACTTTGTTATATTAAAATCCACTGGTCTATTTTGCCCTTTGAATGGATCTTTTACTCATGCATGAGTTTATAACATTATGCATTGGTCATTTGGAAAATATTGGTTCACGGAGTCATGCATTTCTTCTGAATGTTGACACATCTAATTTTATGATATCAAAAAAATCACATTTATTATCATCCCTATTGACATCACTAGAAAAGTAGTTAAGCTGTCAATCTTAAATGGAGGATATAACTTTTTGCTTAAAAACTCAAATTTTATCATTGGCAACAAATGTTGTCAGTTCCTTTTCTTGATGTAACAGACTCACTTTGCTCATCCTGGAGAAATGTCTACCCATTGCGTCACACAAACTATAAAGACAGTTAAAAATTAATAAAATAATAATTTTAAAAAATGCACATACATGGAGGTGAAAAATATGACCACCAGTACAGTTCTGTGTCATGGCCTTGATTTGTGCTAAGATGCCAGCAGTTTTACACAGCACTGATTTTGTGCCACTTAGTACAAATGTCAATACAGTAAAAAAAAAAAAAAAAAGCACAAAAAGAGTCTATCAAAAATAGGCCTCGTAGGGCTTCCCTGGTGGTGCAGTGCTTGAGAGTCCGCCTGCCGATGCAGGGGACACGGGTTCGTGCCCCGGTCCGGGAAGATCCCACATGCCGCGGAGCGGCTGGGCCCGTGAGCCACGGCTGCTGAGCCTGCGCTCCGCAACGGGAGAGGCCACAACAGGGAGAGGCCCATGTACCGCAAAAAAAAATAAAATTGACCTTGTAGATTCCCTGAAAGGTTCTAGGGGACATGTAGGGTCCATGGACCATGCTTTGAGAACCACTACTGACTGTAATATCGCTGGAAATATTACAGCAAACAGGAATGAAATATTATCTTAATTAATATGAAAACAGGAATGAAATATTATCTTCATTATCAATTTACTCTATGCATTTTGTTCCCGCAGCAGGTCTTCTTTAACATTGTTTGTGAAAGTGAATGCTCTAGCTATAGAGAAAACATAAAATACCAGAGGTTTTGTTTTATTTGAGTTTTAAATGAACTTGAATTTATACCCCTTCCTCCATTACATTATCTGCTACAGAACTTGTGACTTAAATAGGGGCAGAAATTAAGTATCTCAGACACAAGCTCTAGCTTGGAGCATTTGAAACATCCTTTTCCCTGTGGCATAGAAAAGATACTGTTTTCAATTTAAGCTTTGCCATGTATAAAAGAATTTTTTATACTAATCCTTAGGATACATCAGTAACATAAAAAATATCACTCATTTTTTTGGTAAAGAATGTGTGCACTGTGATTAAATTGACAAGCATCCTATAGCTTCACACCTCAGAGTTGCATTCTAGACGTGGATTCACACAAATGAGGAGAAACGACTGCCACTGTGAACTATTCAATTCACAATATCCAGTCACTGGTTTTTCCAGTGAGTTTTTCCAGATAACTAAAGATAAGGATTTCCTTCAACCAATCAACATTACAGCAAGAAATATACGTGTGTGTGTGTGTGTGTGTGTGTGTGTGTGTGTGTGTGTGTATGAATGAAATATCATATTTGATGACTGATTATGGCTTAATTTCTAGTTTAGAAAACTTAGCAATTCTGAATATTTAACATGATTATCCTATGTCCCAAGGGCTGTGCAGTTTTATTAAGATGTTTCTGTTGGATTTTCATGAAGCATATTTCATATTTCATAGCACCTATACTTTTTTTTTTTTGGCGGTACGCGAGCCTCTCACTGTTGCCGCTTCTCCCATTTTTTGGCGGTACGCGAGCCTCTCACTGTTGCCGCTTCTCCCATTGCGGAGCACAGGCTCCGGATGCGCAGGCCCAGCGGCCACGGCCCACGGGCCCAGCCGCTCCGCGGCACGCGGGATCCTCCAGGACTGGGGCACGAACCCGCGCCCCCTGCATCGGCAGGCGGACTCCCAACCACTGTGCCACCAGGGAAGCCCGTACCTATACTTTTTGAAGATATTCTTCTTCCGGGTGTTCTATATTTTAAAATGCAAAGATATTCACCAATACAGAGAAGCACTTTCAGCTTTGATGGTAAATATTATAAGGTTATCACATACATAAGGAGACACTCTACTTCCCTTGTGATATGTACTTTACCTTGTATCACATTCAACACTTCATTAGATGATCGCTTTCCCATAATTATCAGAAAAAGTGGAAACTGATCTGTTTTTTGAGTCCGAATGGTTTGTGCAACAACGCTGCCAAAGTGTCTATTGCACATTGTCAGAAATCTAAAATGAGACAAAAATCCAAAGTTAGTTTCATTTCAGAGTTTAATAAATTCATCACTATGCTAAGAAAAAATTCATTAAGTGTTTTATTAGCTATATTAAAATTAGACAGTCTGATATCAATATGTAAAATTTTACTGTATTAAGTTTTCAACTACATCATAAATGGTATAGAAATGATTACCCTACAGAAAAGCAGGCCACACACCCTATATTACCCTAAACTATGAGAAAAATAAACAAAATGAATTTTAAGAGGAAAGAATTTCTTAAAGAGGACAAATATTGGGTGGTAAAAGTTAAATTAATCGGCATCATCCTAGTCTAAACAGGATCTAGCAACATTTTCACAAGTCCTTAGAATCAAGAATTGTACGTTAGAATTGTGTTTTCTCCAGTAGTAGGAGGTCTTCTAGTTTCATACCTGGTATGGGATAAAAATAATAATTCTAAGATTTTGACCAAAAAAAGCTCAGAGATATTAGCATACTGAAGTCTAGCATTAGTATTCTTAACACGATCTGGAATAAATGAAAAAACTGATAAAGCTTTTCTCTTCTATTAGAGGACTGTTTGAAATTAGCATTTCTTTCAAGAGAAAAGGGTAGCTTATGATATGTTTTCAGATCTGATGGTAAAAAGTAAATGTCATAATAATAATGAATTATGAAAGACCAAATGCAAATATAGAATGCTTTAATAAGATCCAATTTAATAAAGTCTGTAAAAATAATGGACTTTTAATAACACAGGTCACAAAAGGCAAAACAGTGGAAATTCTGGGGACTAGCCACTGGTACTGGCTTATTAATTCTTAATTATGTTCATGAAAGGCAACTTAAATCGTGTGTTTTCTTATGCCTTATGATAATATTTTAGGTAACAACTCCTCTGAAATGTATGTTCTAGCTGATGAGCAAAGTCTCGTCATCACATGCATTAGAAGGTAAATCTATTTGAAAAGACAAATGGCATTAAAATGTCATGTGCTCAGATTCATTTGATATCCATATTCAAAACAGAATCAAACCTCTTAATTTTTAAAGCCAGTATATTTCTTGTCCATAGAAATTCATCCCAGAAGTTTAGGCTGAATCCTCCACAAAACCTGTGCGATGACTACACACAGGGCCACTAGAACTGTTGGCAAGAGTGTCAAGACAAGTTAGCACCACTGCAATAAGTTCATTGGGAGGCAGGTTCATATACACATTTAGAGCAGCAATAACCGGACCCCATGGCAATCTGAAATGACAAGGCCTTTTAAAAACCAATTGTTGGCCATGAAATATCAGTGCCCCCATGAAAATTCAGATCTTCACATTCCACAACTATTATGGGATAAAAGGTGCTCAAGCAGCCTAAGTCTCCATACCAAATTTCACACCCATATAGCTTTAATTCATCAATGGAGATGTGCAGATCAGGAGACTAGAAAGTTAGGATCTCATTTTTCTTTCTGCTTCTTACTAAAATATTTGAAGTCAGTCTTGACCCTGATCTGATCATTGGCAACCTCTAAAATTAAAGATGTCAAAAAACAATTGGAATGCCATTTCCTACAAAAGGGAGAAAATAAGTCCTTGTTGCTTTCACATCAATAGATTAAGTGGATATCACACAGTAGATGGCCATCACAGCACTAGCCTCACAAGTGATATTAAATACTAGCCAAACAGGAGACCCCCAAAAAAAGAAGGAAGGAAAGAAGTCAGGAAGGAAGGAAGAAAAGAAGGGAGGCAAGCAGGCAGGTTGGCTTAGTGGTTTTAAGAATTTGATTTCAAGACAACTTTGTCTGGCAACTGTGTACATCCCAAATCCCCTTTCTGTGAAAATGAGCTAGAAGAGAAAATAATTATGAAAATGCAGGTATCTTATTTGGTTTAAATTAATATATAACATAAATTTCAAAACTACACGAAACATATTCAAGGGAGGTACAGCTTTCAACATCCCATTAACCATTAAGCCATTCAATTACTATAAAAAACACAGTGATCAGTTTTCTACCAGGTATTAGCAAATCATTCTAATATTTTAGAAGCAGTTGAGAAATATAAAGGGATCACACAGCCGGCTGATGTTTTCTAGTGGCCTTAACTAACAATCTGTTTTAATCGAAGAGAGACTTTGTTAAAAGTTTAATTAATCTGATTAATCTCCTACGATCATATTTACTTTGAGATTTTCAAATTGCAATCATCGGCAGCCTGTAGGGCCAATGGACAGCCCCAAATTAAAAAATTCCTACTTGTCAGTTCCTTCCATTATAATTTACAAAGAACTTCACAACACAAATATCAAATCTTTCTCATGGCTGGGAGGTTCTGCTTCTTCCTCTCAAGATCATTCACAACACAAAGTTACCATTCGCAGCACACTACCAGCAGCAAAAATCCAGTTCAAAACATTAGAGCAAAATCAAACATGGGAAAAACAAGTTGTTTTAAGAGAACAAATGTGGTTCTCATATTTGTGGTATTTCTTCCTTTTGAAGATATAAAAGTGTGCCAGTGCATCAAGTGGCAGCATCAAACTTGCCAATCTAACTGCATATGGTGTTCATCAGAGTCAGGTGTCATGAAGGGAGAAATGATTTCCACAGCAATTGCATTCCTGC